TCGAAATAGATCGTTGTTTTACCGTAATCCAGTGAGCATGACTATATTAACCAACGTTTTTACAATGGTGACGGTGACATTGGTACTTGCGTACAACAGCTTGTGGCTAGATAGACCCGAGGATAGACTTTACCCATATAAATATTTTGCCTGTGAACTTAGCAAGCAATATAGAATGTAATGCCTCCACTGGTTAATTAACAAATCCATGGAAAATGTTATTAAGACAGGTCTTTATATCGTGTTGCACCACATAAACCATCACTTGAAAATCTATTAGATTCCTACAGTATCAAATCTGAGACAATACAATACAATACAATACAATACAATACAATACAATACAATACAATACAATACAATACAATACAATACAATACAATACAATACAATACAATACAATACAATACAATACAATACAATACAATACAATACAATACAATACAATACAATACAATACAATACAATACAATACAATACAATACAATACAATACAATACAATACAATACAATACAATACAATACAATACAATACAATACAATACAATACAATACAATACAATACAACACAATGATCAACACAATGGTCGTGCAACTATAATTACAATAGATGTTACAATACAGTTTATGAATTTCCTAAATATTATAATTCTAATAAACATTAAAGTTAGTAATTGTGTCCAAAAAGTCGCTGTCTTTTAAGGGATGTCATCAGTGATGTATATGAACATTCCTGACAACAGTTCGGAAGCTTGTTCCACAAAACTGAGCCTCTGTACGCAATGGACTTCATCATTATTTCTGTCACGCATAATGGTAAACTTAACCTGTTCTGACCTCTAAGGTTATACGCTTTTATGATACGCTTAGTGAATAAGCTTGAAATTCTCTGTGGTACACTGCCAGTGTAACATTTATGAGATAGGCTAACCAGCCTATGTTTATAGTGCCATCTTAGGGACTTCCATCCTGCTTTGAGTAAAGCTTCACCAGCTTCAGTAGTCCAATGAAGTCTGTAAATGAATTTGGCAGCACGGGCATGCATTTTCTCAATTCTGTCAAATAAAGTCACATTGCAACTTCCCCGTACCAGGATTCCATAGGTAATAGAAGGGAGAATTACTTTATTATAGAAATCTTGCAACATTGGCTTCGGTAGGAACTGCATAGATTTTAGCAGATTCAATTTCCTTGCAAAGCACACCAAAATGTCATTGACATGTTCGGAGAATTTAAGATCACTGTCTATGGTCAATCCTAGACACCTTGTTTTGTAGACTCTTTTGACTGATATGTTACATAACTTTATTTTCTTGAAGGGGGCGTACAAATATTTTTTGTTTCAGTATCATGTACTCACACTTATAATGTTGTGTCATCAGCATACATTTCTATAGTTCCTTCTCCAACAGATGCGCAATCAGGTAGATCATTGCAAAAGAGTGCAAATAGTAATGGTCCCAGAACTGATCCCTGGGGGACTGCACAATCCACACGCCCTGTCGAGGAGTTTACGGAGCCAATAGATGTATATTGATATCTTTCAGTCAGATAATCTTGTATCTAAGTCAGCAATTCCCTAGTTATTCCGAGGCGTTGTAGCTTTTCTAACAGAATTGAATGTGGCACAGCGTCGAAAGCTTTTCTAAAGTCTATAAAAACTGCGATGACCACCTTCTTCCGGTCTATGCATCTCCTCCAAGTTTCTGTCATATGCACAAGCGGCAGTTGAGTTGAAAGTTTCTTTTGTATGCCCACTGGTGTTCCGTGACTTTTGCTGCGTATTCGCTCATATGATTTGAAATAAGATCGCTTATACCTTTTTCCATTATCTTTCCAGGTACGCTCAACATTGACATGGGTCTGTAATTGCCCCTCTCCGTCTCATCGTCTTTCTTATGTGCAGCCTTAATTCTGGCTACTTTCCATACGTTCGGTATAGTCTGTGTTTCAGCGCTGCGTTTAAAAATATATGCTATCGATGGTACAATTGCTGGCCCAGCTATTTTAAGCATCCTTGAGCTGACTCCATCAGGGCCAATAGCCTAGTTAGATTTAAGTTTTGTTATTTGTTCCTTAACAAAGGCGTCAGTAATTTGTATTTTAGACAACGTTTGAATTGTTGGGACAATTTGTGGAGGTGTAGAAGTGTATTGGGTTATTTGAGGCTTTTGATTTGAGCTTATCTCATTTGCAAGTTGCTGTCCAACTGTCGCGAAATGCTTGTTTAAAATTTCCGCTTTCTCGGTATCTTCTGTTGCCAATGTTCCGTTTCCCTTCCTTATAGCTCTAATTTCTGGTTTCCCTCTCGCGCCCTCTGCTTGTTTGATTAATTTCCAATATTTACGACAGTCCTTGATTTCATTAGATAAATTTGCAAAATATTCAGCTTTTAGTCGTTTAAATTCAGATGTTACCTCATTCCTTAATTTACGATATTTTTTAAAAATGTTGTCATCTCCCGTATTCTTTGCAAGACACAGTAGCTTAAACCTCTTCTTCAGTTTATGTCTTAGCATCTGTTACCCATGGTAGTGAATTGCTACGGAGTTTAACAGAATTGAGAGGAGCGTGTATGTTAGAAAATTCTTGAAATAGCTCTTTCCATGCCCAATAAGTATCGTCTGGGTCATCAAAGACTTCAACTACTGGCCATGGGGCGTTCTCTAAATCCCTTCGAAATGCAGGCATTTCCAGCTTTTTATAATCACAGGTTTTGATAAATTTTGGTTGTGGATTTTTCGTCTTTAATTAAATTAATTTTTGTAAATATTAGGGAATGATCGGACAAGCCGAAGTCTACCGTGGTATTAGCCAGGACTAGTTCAGGTGTGTTGGTGACGACTAAATCGATCAACGAGGAACCAGTCTTTGTTACCCTCGTTGGTTCCTTGTTTATAACATTCAATCCGTACTGCGAAAACACAGATTGCATTTTTGCATCAGGACCCGCCGCATAATTTGTATTAAAATCACCGACAAGTAAAATGCTTTTATGCTTTAGCCAAACTTTTTCTAAAATTAATTTTATTTGATTTTAGAATTCTGCGTCCCATGGGGGTCTGTTTATAAGTCCTAATACAAAAGAGGACAATCTTGAGGAAACTTTTACCCAAATGGATTCTATACTCGGATTATTTAGTCCTCTCACCGCAGTCACGGTTAAATGATTAGCAACATATAATAAACATCCACCGCCTTTCATGTTTGTACTTCGTTTCCCTTTAGTCTTTTGTCTGTCTCTCCTTATAATACGATAACCCTCTACAAATAACTGTTCGTCTGAGATTTCACTGTTTAAGTGTGTTTCAGTTAAAGTGGCTCAAAACAGTTTTTAAAATATGACAACGTGATTTAGATTTAATTTTTTGAAGAGAGGTTTCTTGTTAGAAGGCAACATAATTATATTGAGCAAGCTTCTACGAGTTGAAAATTGTTCACAAAAATGACGTCATTACCGTTGCTATGATAACAATGACGTTTCAATATGGCCGACATAGTTACCTTTTAAAACATTTTACTCGAAAAAAAAAGGCCGGTTACCCCCATTTTTTATTTCGTGAAACGTTTTCTTTTAGAAAGATGACTGATATGAACAACTTTAAAAAATTCTTTAGAACGTCATTTTTCGTGATAAATATTTTTTGGATTCACAGAATTTTTTTAAACTTGTTCACATCATTCATTTTTCTGAATGAACACGTTTCACGGAATAAAAAATGAGGGTAACAGGCCTTTTTTTCGAGTAAAATGTGTTAAAAGGTAAAATGTCAGTCATATTGAAACATCATTGTAGGGTTGGGCGATATTTCGATAATTTGATTTATCGCGATATTTTCAATCACGATTATCGTATCGAAGGTAGAAACTTGAGCGATGATATATCGAAATTATCGTCATGGTCGTGGACTATCGTGATATTGCTTCGTATGTGTGCTACGATGGTTAAAAGAGTAAAAATATTTCAAAAATAATGACAAACGAGACTTGTTCTTTCACTGTAGCAAATATGCTACAGTGGACGATATAGGGATATAGCTTTTATAAAAATCCTAAAAAATTTCTTCAATTTCTAGAAACTGTAGTTTTTAAAAGAATTAAAACTATTTCCTGAATCAAATACGAATTAAATACGATATATTGGTTAATTCCTGGTATTATGCGGTCACCAATATACCATTCTAACTTTTATACATCCCAACAATCCCTACTTATCACTGGTAATCTAGTAATCCTTGGTAAACTTGTAATCCTTGGTAATCTAGTAATCATTGGTAAGTAAGCCTTGGTAAGTTAGTAAGCCTTGGTAAGTTAGTAAGCCTTGGTAAGTTAGTAAGCCTTGGTAAGTTAGTAAGTCTTGGTAAGTTAGTAAGTTGCTGAGTAAAGAAATTGCAGGCTTTGCTTGCGCTGTGTGCCCATGGCATTTGTGTCTGGGGAGACACTGTAAACACTGCATAGACAGTTCAGGTTTATGAACGGTAAATGTTAGACTAGAAAAGCCAACATATTACTTTAATTTGTTGTTTTACTTGTTTTTAATAAATTATATATAAGCTTACTATGCTTTGATATTAAATAGAATTAAAAAATGTGGTCATTGTTTTTATTGCGTTTATCCCAATATTATCGAATATCGTGATAATTTCCTTGACAATAATCGTGAGTTGATTTTTTTAATATCACCCAACCCTACATCATTGTTACCATAGCAACAGTGATGACGTCATTTCTGTGAACAATTTTCAACTCTTAGAAGATTGATCAATACGTGTGGCACAATTTTTGTCTTCTAGCAAGAAACGTTTCTTCAAAAAATTAAATCTAAATCACAATTATGTCATATTTCAAAAACTATATTGAGCCACCTTAAGGCTAATATCTCAAACTTGTAATTTTCTAATAACATTTTGACCTCATCGACTTTGCCCCGTAAACTACGTATATTTAGTTGTGCTATATTCAGTACATTCCCTCTGGTTTTCCGGCTACAATCTTATGCAAAATAAACGAGACACTCCATGCTCCCGCACCCTTCTCAATGTTGGTTAGTGATTGCTAGCACCGTTTCACGCCTTCCTTGTCAATTTCGACTTCAAATCGCAACATTGCATGGGGGAAAGGGGGATAAGCCTTACAAAATCATGATGGCACGTTTTATTTTGCAAGAGATTGTATTTCAACAATAAATCTGCACATACTATGTCAAGTACTGTAGGTGTGGAAAGTTATGACGCTGGACACGTTTTATCTAGAACGCTTGTGAATGACATCATTTGCGTACATCAACACGTTTCGAAGGTTATGTAATGAACCAAAAAAAGAAATAAAATAATATATAAGCTTGAATATTATTACTATAGGACTTGAACAATCCTACTTTAAAAGATAAATATTAAAGGAATAATTCAGTATGGCTATTGACCACAAGACAAAGGCTCTGGTGTACTATTTATCGAGGTTTCAAGGGCTTTCCATTCGGCAAGTAGCAAGAGAATGTAATGTTTCTCGGGCAACTGTGTGGAGGATTAGCAAAATGGATATGAGCAATAACGGATGTAAGAAAACGCGCAGAGAGACCAGAGGTAGACCAAGAAAACTAAATAAACGCCAGGAACGGAAGCTACGACGATCGATCCAGATCCTAAGAGAGCAAGAGGGTAATTTCACGATCAAGAGACTGATGGAGAACGCGTGCATTTGTAGAAAAGACGTTTCAGAGAGTACAATTTCACGTTTCCTAAATAAAGAGGGCTATTATTATCTACAAGCTCGGAAGAAAGGTCTGTTAACGAAGACTGATATGAAAAAGAGGAGAACTTTTGCACGGAGAATGCAAAATGAATATTCTCACGACGTGTGGACTCAAGATATTGCGTTTTACCTCGACGGAACGGGATTTGCGTATAAGAGAAATCCCTTGGATCAAGCCTTGGCACCCAAAGGCAGAGTATGGCGCAAGAGAAGCGAAGGACTAACGCCAGGATGTACTGCGAAGGGACAAAAGACAGGAACTGGTGGTCGAGTGGTAAAGCTGATGGTAGCTATAAGTTATGACAAGGGCGTGGTCATATGCAAAGCTTATGATAAGTTAGATGGCCGTTATTTTGCCAATATTATTGACGAGAACTTTGAAAGCATGTTTGGCACTGCAGATAAAAGCCTAAAGCGATTATGGTTACAAGACGGGGATCCAAGTCAAAATTCAGCAATGGCTCGCGCAGCTATGGACCGTGCAAACTGTGAACTTCTAAAAATACCGCCGAGAAGTCCTGACTTAAACCCTATTGAGAATATTTTTAAACTAGTTTCAGACGCATTGCGTAAGCAAGCGATCAGGTCGCAAATCACGAAGGAAACATACGAGGAATTTAAAAATAGAGTTATCTCTACAATTCAATCTTTACCTCTAGAAGTAATAAATAACACAATTGCCTCAATGCCAAATCGCGTGAAAGAAATCATTAAGAGGAAAGGACAGCGTTTAAGATATTAGAACTATCAAACTGCCAAGTACCTTCACGTTGTATATAATTATATCGACAATGTATATCTTGACAATAAAACGCGTACAATGTAATATGAACTGATTGTTAATTAAAAAATAATATTCGTCTATATTGATATGGCTGCGCGTATTTGATGGACAAATCAAAGCAGTATGAACACGCCGATTAACTACCAAAATTATATATATATATATATATATATATATATATATATATATATATATATAACTATTTGTGAAATATAACAACATGCAATGCATTATGTATACCATCTCTGTGTCAGGTATAAAGCATAATTGTTCAGACAGCCCATGAACCCACCCGGAAATGCACGATTCTGAATAATTAACGCATCACCATAACGGGTCACTGTCTAAAACAAGTGTCAAAACAACTCAAGAGAGTACGCTGGCCACACATTAAATACATAACATCTGAGGTTTGTACCGTGGTACCATGGTAAAGTTAACATTTCCATTTTTTTTAAGAAACTAACGTAATACGAGCTGATTGTGTAACGGTGACCCGTTCAAACCAAAAGAATTAATATTACATCATATATATTCTCTCATATATCTTCGGATCACCGTGGTGATCCGTCGTTTATTCTGCGTATACAACGCTTCAAATCGTTTCAAAATTCCAGCATTTGTTGAATAAGTTGTAGTGGTTAAGTGAATTAGTCAACAAACTTTGTAGAAGAGAAACAAAATATGTAATTTTGAGATTTTTAAATGGTAACCCGTCATGCACGTGCACATATGAACACTGATTAGTATGCTGATTGCATGCATTTGATTAGTATGCTAATAGCATGCATTTTTTGCTAAAACGTATGTCCGATAAACATAGACAGTTCAAATATTCAATGAAGAATAAACTCTGCAAAGCAACGCGGACATGATAGGATATCCACTTGTTCATCTTGCGGGATTTGCGAGAAGAACTGAAAGCAACGCCATCTGACTCTCATCATCCCCGTTTCAACGCAGTCAACTGCACCCCCTCGCACAAAGCTGAAGTGCTCGTTGGCTGTGGCGAAGATTGGGGCATCTTTTTCAAAGACAATGTCTTGAGCATAGTGCGTCTTCGGTGCTGGAAAGCGTACCATCTGTCCCTCGAGCAACAATAGGAGATTATGCCAAGGAATAATCTGCGCTGACCATCGGAAATCATTCAAAAATATTACTTCACAACTCTCGACTCCAACCCACGCAAAGCTTGTACTAGCAGGGTTACTAAATGTGTCGTAGATTACATTCAATGGATTTAGAATAAAAGTTTTTCCGCAGTTAGATGGCCCTGTCACTAAAATGTTTCGATATTTTCCCCGTCCTTTCTCTAGTAGTAACCGCACAGCCCCTACAAACTCAGATATCTCGATATTGTTTCGCATGAGTATATTTTTTGCGAGGTCTAGCCATTTCTTGTTGCAATTTAAGATGCAATCTCCTTCAAAGGCTACCTGAAGTCGCTCTAAACGACTTTGCCGGTACCGAACTACCAGACTTGGTGCTTCTTTTAACTCCCACCCCACTCGGATTGCTTCGTCGACTGCCTTGGAGCCCCGGTTGGCTATGAACTGGGCGAGGTCGGTTTTACCTTCTCTTTGTTGTTCTTGCGCAAAAGACAAAAGTTCTAGACGGGACTTGATTTTCTTGTTCACCACTAGTTGAGAAACTTCGTAAACACTCAGTTGACGCTTCCGGGTTTTCGCTTTACCTGCACCTCGTCGTGTTGTGCCACTCTTTGCCCCTCTGCGCCATGCTGCACTCGCTCGCGTGGTCTGGGGTGGTTGCGCGTTAGTAAGATCAGGATGGCCCTCTGACTGAATATATTCTAAATCTTCCTTTGTTGTGTATTTCCATGCGGAATAATAATTGTCATGTCGATTGGAGAAATTGACATTTACGCGATGTTTCTGTGCAATATAATTTCTAACTCTAATCCATCTGTGCCTTTCGGACAACTTCACGGTCATGTGAAAATGGAATCCCGACTGCTTGTGGTTTTCTTTTGCACATACCCATTGAAGTAGCTGTACATTACAGGCAGTAAATGCATCTTGAACTATGCTGACGAAACTCTCACGTGTTGGAAACATATCGGCATTGACTTGACTGTATGTAATTAAATAAACCCTTCTAACTTGGCGATCGCGAAGCGACTCGTTATCTAATTGGTCTTCGATGTCCATTTGATGCTTAATTTAAAAGACTACGAAATTCACCACACTCTACTGACTGTACGTCTGATAACCACAGCTATGAGAATAATTGTTGTTGTGCAACGTTTAGGTCTATTCATAATGATTATGAATTTTTGTGTTGCAATTTCATTACTTCAATAATTAACTGCATGCATATTCGCACTATAAATATACATATAGTTACTGACAAGTTGTTTTGTTACATATATTATAACGTTTTTACAGAAATAAACATAAAATACATGGGTGTTATTGTTCAAACATGTGTGCCAATATTTTTGAATGATTCTCAGTAAATTTTACTTCCTTTATTAGTAATAATCTCCACTCGCATCTTACACAATCATAGCTGCGCCAAGTGTGCATTCCAAACGTTCCTATTTTAGACAATCTTATGCAAAATAAACGAGACACTCCATGCTCCCGCACCCTTCTCAATGTTGGTTAGTGATTGCTAGCACCGTTTCACGCCTTCCTTGTCAATTTCGACTTCAAATCGCAACATTGCATGGGGGAAAGGGGGATAAGCCTTACAAAATCATGATGGCACGTTTTATTTTGCAAGAGATTGTAGATGCTACAATCTTGGACATAACTGGTTGCGACTATTTTCCCCCTATAGACAATTCGCGTATTTTTATGATAAACTCCATGTTGAATCATGTTGCCATTCTTAAACTCCCGCTCCCCCAACTCAATGTTGAGCTTGTATCTTGGTATATTACCAAAAGTTGTTTCGACGTTGTTCACAACATTGAACTGGGGGGGGGGGAGGGGGAGACAAAATTTGTTTTGTCAATGTTCAATAACTTTGTAATATTAGCTGGAATAGTCTCAAGGGTTTTGTCCAAGATTGTAGCTCTGTTAAGAGTCTTAAGACAGGGAAAGCAAAATCTGCCATACAATTTTCTATCTTGTGAAGGTCCTGGATTAGTTTCAATATCTCCTTCAAGACTAACTTCAATTAGTATAAACCTACTAATAGGCTATCATGTATCGTGCGTTCTGATTGGCTACGCTACTAGTAGGCTATTAGTGATAGCCTACTAGTAGCAACAGCGGCGAAGGGCGCGAGAGTCAATGGCCGTTTTTAAGCATTAAAAGCTGTATTTAAAGGGAAAAAAGCTTATCAAAATGGCCTAGTTTTGGTTCTGGATTACACACAAACAAAGACTCTTGGAAACTGCTGACACATGCGGTAAAATTTTTAAGTTTTCTCAACTTTGCTCGTAGTTTTGAACATGAAAGTGACAGGCGATTTTTTAAAATGTGCAGAATGTTTGTTAATATTCCAAGCAGAATCGTTGAAATTCAACAATACTTTGTAGTTATTTACCCCTATTTTCTCAACCTCTTTAGTGTGTGCTTGTTTTAAGTACGAGTTCATGTATTTATAGCTGTTTAAATGTTGAGATTTTGGCCGAGTTTGTTTTTCGTCTTTTTCGAGCCTTTTTAAGTCGAGTTTTTCGATTAAATTTTAATCTAAACTATTGTCTATGTATACTAGATTATGGAAATGGTTTGCCTCTTTATGTTCCAGATATTTTAAAGATTTCAACGACATTCGGATAATCGGATTCTTTTGCATGTGTGTGCATTTTTATTCGGCTTTTTAACGACGTAAACTTTATTTACTAATTTAATAAAAATTCGGGAAGCCATTTTGTGTTCGAAATTTTCGATTTTTTAAGCCTTGTTTCCTTCTTTTAAATAAGTTTTAATTAACCAAACTTTGCTTCTATAACGGTCTCTTACTATTATACTGTTTTATGACATGTTTTTTAACTTTTTTAAAACTCACAAGTTGTATTTTTCAAGTCATATATATATATGTATATAGTTTTTCGTTTTACCTCAAAAAACCACAACAGTCTGTTTCATCCGTATAGGAATCATCAGGTGGTGAAGGAATAATTTCGAAATTTTAGGTTGCTTTATGCTATCGAAAGAATGTGCGGAATGCGTGTAGGCGAAATATATATATATATATATATATATATATATATATATATATATATATATATATATATATATATATATATATATATATATATATATATATATATATATATATATATATATATATATATATATATATATATATATATATATATACTATATATATATATATATATATATATATATATATATATATATATATATATATATATATATATATATATATATATATATATATATATATATATATATATATATATATATATATATATATATATATATATATATATATATATAGCACGATTTAAGCAGTTTAGAAAGCATATATGGAGCCCATTTCTGAGAGACATGATAAATATTTCCCTGCAAAAACATTTCACTGACAAGCAGGTGCAATAATCAACTACTAAGCTTGAAATCAGTGCTCCCATCATGCTTTGCGCTTATATATATATATATATATATACCGGGTGGTCCAAAAAAAAGTACTCCTGTTTGATTCGTAATAACATCTAAACAAGTATAGCTTTTAAAGAGAAATAACTTGCATCAAATAGAGGAAGGACTAACTTAGACTTTGATATATTACAGTTGTATTTCACTTAAAAATTCACGGAGATATTAATCTTTAAATTCAGGAGGATATTTCTGGATGTGTCTGAAATATGCAAAAATCGGCGTATCAAATATTAATCAAGATTTGCCCGACTGAAACATGCACTATTACCAGTAAATAAATGACACTTGACAAATTGTTTATTATGAAACAAAGTATTATTATATCTATTAATCCTGCTCTAACCGAGAAATAATCAACTTTGTTTTGAACCCATGAAAAACATAAAAAAATAGGTTATTTAAGAAAAATTGAAGCGCCTGCCGTGCATGGTCTTTCAGTACCTTAAGTTTGCAAAGACCTATTAAATACTTACATAATTTCGAACGTTCATATTTCAGGAAACAATAAGTTAAGACTTACATGTAAGATGTCTAAATCTACGCCATATCCCTTACAAACCCTAACGACAATTCGCTGAAATACAATTTACCCTGATATGTCATTAAGCGAACAAACGCTCGAGTGAAAATTTGATACGCCGATTTTCGCTAATTTTAGACACATCCCAAAATATGCTCCCGATTTTGAACATTAATATCTCCGTGAATTTTTAAGTAAAATACAACTGTAACATATCAAAATCTAAGTTAGTCCTTCCTCTATTTAATGCAAGTTATTTCTGTTTGATAGCTTTACTTGTTTAGAAGTTATTATAAATCAAACAGGAGTACTTTTTTCTGGGCCACCCGGTATATATATATATATATATATATATATATATATATATATATATATATATATATATATATATATATATATATATATATATATATATATATATATATAGTTTTCGTTTTACCTCAAAAAACCACAACAGTCTGTTTCATCCGTATAGGAATCATCAGGTGGTGAATAATTTCGAAAGTGTAGGTTGCTTTTATGCTATCGAAAGAATGTGCGGAATGCGTGTAGGCGAAACAATGCTTAGGTGAAACAATGCATGCTTGGGTCATTAGGTTTTGTTAACGACCTTGTTTACTCGAAACCGGTTTTTGTGACGACATTTGCCGAAAATTTCGCTTCTTTTATTGAGTAAATTGTCTTTGTTTATGTCTTTCAAAATGCAAAATTTTTCTTCCAAACATAAATTGCAGCGTTTTGATCCCCCTGTGTACGAAATAGCGTGTTTTAAAATTGACCATTTGATGGTATAATCCTGATTGTTTTCTTTTAATTTCCAAATATGTTTCGAAAGTTCCGTTTTGTTTGAGTCTTTTTATGACGAAAAGATGAAGTGTGGTTAGCGTAACGTTCCTTAAATGTAGTCGCTGTCATACCAATGTAGTGTTTAGTGTCGTTCGTGTTGTTCGTTGTGACTGTTGCTTTGTAAATAATGTTGTTGGTCATGCATTGTTTCGGTAGTGGGCAAGTGTTTTTGTTGTCGCAGTTACAGTTGTCAGTTTCCGTATTCTGTGATTGACTGTTCCTAATTATATGTGCGTTGTGTTTGGTGATTATAGACTTAACGTTGTTCATGCAACTGTAGCTTACTTTTAAAGTGTTTCTGTTAAAAATCTTGTGTAGTTTGTGCTGTAGCGGGAAGTGTTTGTCAATTAAACTTAAGAATTCCCGTCCTATGTTCGTGTTAACACTCTTACTAAATGGTGGGTTGAACCAAATTATGTTGCGTTGCCTATTCCTACGTGTCCGTTGCGGTGCATTCTCAGTGTACGTAAATTCATGATCAAAGTTACTATGTGTAAGAGCGTTCTGGTAAATAGGTGTGGATTCCTTAAATGTTTGTTCGTCCGATGAGAGAAGTGCAATGCGTTTGTTGATAGCTGTAGGTAATTGTCTTGTAATGCTTGGTGGATGGTTTGAGTGTCTGTGGATGTACAATGGATCGTCATTGGGTTTCCTGTATGGTTTGTGTTTTGCGTTGATCAGGTCGAAAGTAACATCTAAAAAATTTACAACGTTCATATTTACTTCGGCGGTGATTTTAAGGTCAAATTGCTCGAAAATTTTGTGTAGCTCTTTTCTAGTTTTGTCTAGTAAACGGGCGGATTTGCTTTTTATAATAGCCAAACCATCATCTCTATAAAGTCCGATGTTTTCCTTGCCAAACCTCTTACCTAAGTGATTTAAAATGAAAAGGCCTACCAGCTCACAAATTTCAGCGCCGTCGAAACTACCCATAGTGACGTCAAATAAACTGTTGCTTCCGTCTTTTTTTGTCCATAATTTGCCGTTGCCGAAAAGTAGAGATTTTCTTGCATGTTTTATTATTGAAATATCGTTTTCGGTAATAGTAGTCAAATCCGAAGCCCAGGCCAATGCTTCATTTAAAAGTTTTTCGGAAATAGATGGGTAAAAATCCACAATATCAAATGAAATAAAACTGTGCCTGTCTTTATCTTTTATATTGCCAAACCATGAAATTACTTGTTGCGTATTTCTCCATTGATTT